TGGCTACTCCACTTTCCATCCAGCTCTCTGCTGTGGCCTGGGAAAGCAGCAGAGGATGGCCCAAAATCCTGGGACCCGGCACTCACACTCACTCGGAGGAAGCCCTAGTTCCTGGCTCAGGTCAGCTCAACTCCAGCCACTGAGGCCACCTGGGGAGTGAACCAGTGGATGAAGAATATTTGTTTGTCCTTCTCTCTGTAAATCTTATCTACCTTTCCAATAAAAAAAGAACAGTCTATCATTTTTATTCTTACATACTCATATTATCTATTTACTTTCTTGCCTGCAATGGTTAGGAAACTCCTTCCAATTTTTTTTTTAATGTTTGTGAATGGTCAGGTCAATATTTCTAGAAGCCAAATGTGAGACTTGCCAGGAAACTCAGTAAACATGGACAAGGAAATGGTCCTAGATAGGAGTCATACAACCTCTTCAGCAACTAACCCATGTGTCTGACTACTTGTAAACCCACTGGGTGTCATCCTAGAAAAGAGGGCAGGGTGGCCGGAAAAGGACCCTTCTCTTTCTAGTGGATTTTAAAGCATAATAGTTTCTCATTTTGGAGTTAAATAACACCTGATCAAATTATCCCATATAATAGGCAGCACCATCGACCCAGTTCCAAAGAGAAGTTGCAAGTGGCCATGGAACACAGGCCAACTTCCCATGAGCACATATCATAGCAATGCCATGACAGCATGTGGTTGCATTCCAGCACCGACATGGTGGAAGCTCTTTCTTTTAAGATTCTTTCTTTTCATTTTTCTTATTTGAAAATCAAAGGGGAGCGGGTCTTCCATCTGCTGGTTACTTCCTGAAATGCTTGAAATGGCTAGAACTGAGCCAGGCCAAAAAAAAAAACAAAGCCTGTAATTCAATCTGAGTTCTCCAAGTGAGTATCAGGGCTCCAAGACATCATCTCTGCCTTGCACGGTCTTCTATGGCAGCATGCTGGAGTTGAAAGCAGGGCCAGTACTTAAATCCAAGCATTACAATACAGGATACAGACATCCCGAGTGGCAACTTAACTGCTGCACCAAATGCCTGCCCCCTGGAGAATAGTTTTATGTGGATATTTTTATAACACTGGGAGATACTTTTTGCACCAAGACCAAGAAGGCTTTGTAACTGCTGCTGATTTACTTACTGCTTTTTTCCATCCTTTTACAGCATTTTTACACAATACTATGTAACCAAAATTCTGCTATCAATTATACCAGACACAGACATTTGATCATGGGACAGAAAAGAGACATTTATGAAGAAGCCAGCCAGGTTCAAACAATGGCTATAGTTAAGCTAAAAGGAATGGATCAATGGCGACTTCCTAGTGTTGACAGGTGTGTCCCCATAACATAAGATACCATCCCAGGGCAAAAAGGCTAAAGCACATGCAGAATTCTGAGTATCAACTTTGCACCTTATTTGCACATAAAACTATTCCAAAATAAACTCTTATTTCACAAACGTGCTGTTAGCCCTACAACTTTGAGAAACAGGGATGCAAGTTGTACCCACAGCCCTTCACCCAGCCTTAAGAATCCATGAAACCTGCATTTACCCTCTCCAAAGAGGCAGTAGGAACGCACTGGCAGACAGGGAGGCTGGAACAAGGGAGACAGTGTATGCTGACAGCACATAAGGCCAAAATGTGCCTTCAAAAGCAAATTCCAATTACACAAAAGCCAAGGAGCATTTCTTGTAGAAAAATCACTATCTCCGTGTAATCTACATCCTGTTAATCAAAGAGGTCAAAGCCCTTTTGATTATCAGACTAAACATTTTTAGGCGATGCAACTGAATGCCTGGGAAGAACATGAACAGTATCAGCCTCAGGGGAAAAAAAAAAAAAAAGCAGGTCTTTAATATTGCAGGGGGAAGAAAATCAACAGCAAGAAATTGATAAAGGTTGGTGAAAATAAAACTTATGTATCAGAGTTCTCTTCTCCCTGTTGGCTTTCACCTTGTCCTTTTCCACCTCCCCCCACCTTCCGAGAAGCCTGTATTGATTGTTGAACCTCTTGACGCTTGACCATAGCATAAGGGAATAGCAGAAGTGACCCAGCACTGGTATTACACAGGTGAGAAGGGAGCAAGAGATGGCGATCATTATTCTCTTAAAGCAAACGTGAGTGGGTCACTGAATGAAGTGGGAAGTGATTTTGAAGTTGAAACAAGTGAATTCCCCAAAGTAGCTTGGTTGATGAGGGAAGAGCAACCTACACACAGCACAACGCACTCCCTCAGTGTATCAGAAAGAAATGCATTTTTCTTTTCCTTTTTTTGTAACAGCAAATCATGGTAGCTCCCTTTTGGTGTTGCTGCTTTCAATTTTCTTTTACCATACTACTTTAATGCATTTTAAATTCTTTTTGATTCAGTATAATTGTACATACATATGTGATATAATGTGACACTGCAAAAACAGACATACAGAGTGTACCGTTTAAACATTTCCTTGTCGTTGCCATTAGGTACAACTAGCATGCTGGAGCTCCTTACCCTTATTTGCTCAGGAAATATCTAACAGGTTACTGTGAGCTATCATCAACCCCACTGTGCTTCGTCACACAGACAAGAGTTCTAACTCCATCAGGTGCATCCCGATCCTGCCCTGAAGGCTGTTCTAATTTACTAGCTATAAGATTCCTTCTTTACTTCTCCGTCAGTCAGGAACTGGTTACGCTTATTAGTTTTTTGAACCCCTAGCAAGGATTAATATCAAAAATCTAATCTTATCCTTTCAATGAATCAATGAATTCTCCAAATCATTCATTCTTCTGAACATACAGCTCTGTTTCCATTGTAAATATATAGAAAGTTCCTGTGAACCAGTAACAGTATAAAAATTTTTTTTAAAAATTGCCAGGAAGCAACTGTTGCTGTCATCTACAGAACATAGTGTTATATGAATTAAAATGACTGTTACAAACCTGTGAAAGGGTTCCATGTCTATTTCTCTTATTCAGATGTTCCCAAGAGTGTTAGAATTACATGGAATTAACATCCATAGAAACTCTCACAGCAATACAATGTTTATGACATTTCCCCTAGAATTCCCAAGTTGACCAGAAATGCTCTGGTTTTGCCAGTACCCCCTTACCGAGGAGACTACTACAAGACACCTGTTATGTTGATGTAGATCACGGACTACTGAGACACACAGCTGGATCAAACACAAGAATCATCAATGCACCAGGAAGCTTATCACAAGACACTTTGAATTGTTCAGTGGCTACATATCTGTGTCTGAGCAGTAATTTATTTTCAGGACAAAGTGCAATGAAGTCTCTATTAACAGCATTCATTAATGTTCCTTGCCTTTCTACCTGATAGAATGATGAAAGTTATAGGACTTCAATGAGTTTGTTATTTCATTTAGTACTGACTCAAAATCATCCTCTGTATTGAAACATCTAATGTAAAACTCATTAACAAGTCACCTTGCATACCTCAGGGCTCAAGACTGGCTCAGTTTCTCTGTTCTATCAGCATGTGCACTAACTTAAAATCTTTGGAAACATATATGTATCTGGTTCAAGCTGCCTCGTAGTGTAGTCTCAAAGACAATGGGTTCATTTCTATCCAATCCATGTCATAGTTGGCGTCATCTATCCTATCTTTAGAAGCTGTGTGATTTGATCATAAAATTTCTAATTACAGGCTTATTTTTCTCTGAATTTCACTGCTTATATATTACCTTACAATCCAGTTTGTAAATAAATAACACCATAATGTTTAATAAATAATAAATATAATTCTACTACCCATCTAATCTAATCATTAACTTGATGAATTTGTCTGAATATTCAACTTAAGAGCATTCAATTATTCTATTCTAACTCTATTTGGTTAACCCATTTTTCAAATCAGGCAAACTTTGATTGTGCTAACACACTGTAACAATTTCCCAAGCCATGAAGACTGCATCTGCATGCAAAATCACAGAATTCACATCACCTATGGCAAATGCCACAGATTTCTTCCTCTACCCCCTAATATAAAAATGTGCAACCAAGCAGCTCAAAACTACAATTCAGCAAATAAAATACCCAAGCAGCTCCCAGTGTCGCCTCAGCAAAGGCATCCAAGACTGTAAAAAATGGGTGGCATCAAAACTGTTCCTGTGTTCAGAAGCCTCTAGCCACAAGTAAACGCACCCTTTGAATTGTCTGCATTTTGTTATTTCAAGCCAAGAACTCCGCACTACTTTCATGTGGGGGGTTGTTTCAACACATAATGGCTAGGAAGAATCATGGCAGCACACTGCTGTCAACATCCAAACAATCTTATTTTTCCTCGTCTCATTCATTGGTGCAAAGCTCCATTACCATACACATCTTTGAAAGATTTGGGGGAGTATACCAAGATCCCAAGAAGGCTCTGTTGAAATACAATAGAAAATGTGGCTCTTTTTCCTAGAAGAGCAATTTTGTATGAGTCATATACACCCCAAAACAACACAATCATAACTCAACACCTCCACCCGACACACATGGAATATTTTGAGGATTACCTGAATGAAACTCTAGTTATGAAAAAGACAGACATCTTTCTGAACCAGTATTGGTTAACTAAAAACAGCATGAACGCTAAAAGCTATGACTGGTATATATCTGAAGGCTAACAGGTGACCCAATCAAGATGAAACAACAAAATGTACCCCCCCAAAAAAATAATCCACTGGTAAACTAAGTATCTACCCAATGTAAACCAATTAAGAGGATTCTCAGCTAACAGAGCAAATAAGTTTAATCAATCAAGTAGCATCTACCAGCTAACAGGCACCAAACAAGATGAAGCAACCCTAGATCACTCTTTACCAGAGAAAGCAAATCGGATGATGTCAAACTTGGCTTTGTTCAGAAGAGATGAAATAAAATCTTTGTTCCTAAAGAGAAGCTCTTAATTAACCCAAACACATGGCATGCAATCTGGTGACTTAATCACTACCTAGGTCACCAGACAAGATCAAAACCAGTTCACGCAGCTATACTCACGTAAATTATTTATGGGAGTCCTCGTGTCCATGTTTTCATAATGCTGGACGTGAACAACGATGTTAAGGTCTCTCTCCATGTGGTCAGTGCTGCAGTGCCCCTGGGGCCTCATCACATCCGCAAGGGCCCTGAAAGAGAAATGAATTTAAAACATGAGTGACACCTGCTAGGAGCTGACCATGGTGCCTGTGAACCGAAGACACGACTCTAATGCCATGGAGACACCATTCTAGTGAGGGGGTAGTGGAGGAAACAGCAGAAGTTATACATAGAATCACTGTAATTTGAGTTTCCATCAGGACTCACATATGTTAGCTACCATACCAGGTCAACTGCCAGTTTCAATGATCTCATGGAATTGTTGAGAGGGTTAAATGATGAGTACACATATGTCCACATCATAGATTGAATTCTATCTAGCAGCAGATAACAACACAACATACCTTCACAGTCCAATAATAGTAACGATGGCTAACTTTTACAGAGTACTTACCACAAACCTGGCACTATGCAAATATATTACATACCTCAACTGAACAAACAGCACAAAAGACCACTGTAGGCTTCTTATCCCTTGCAAATGAGAATACACAGACTCAGAGAGGTGAATCAAAAGAATCTGGTCACAGAGCTTGTAAACATGGTTTTGACCCAGAGCATCATGGGAGGGAATGGAACCACCATGAAACCTGGATCGGTGACCCTCACAATCAGCTACAAACTTAGGAAAGAAGCTCCGTGTTAGTACATAGAGCAGATCAGAGGAAACTGTCAAAACAGATATCACAGCCTAAGGTGAGATTCCACCAGCATTCTTCTTTCTCTTCACTTTCTATCTTATGCTTATTTAAATAGATTAGTATGCTTGAATAAAAATAATATTGGAGTATCATCACGTACACGCATTGCTTTTATATAAGTTGTGTTTTTACCATAAGACTCAATTGGGTCCTTCTTTTGTGTATGCATTGCTAGAGAAGACCCTATCACTAAGGGTGAGGCTCTCGTGTCCCTGGAGAAAACAACACATGTCAAACACAAGCACCACCACCTGCCACTCAGCGGCAAGGATGACCGCTGTTCATCAGAGCAGACTTCAAAAAGTACACGGAAAATGAATTAAAAGTTAAGTTTATTTTGGTGCAAAAAAAATCTGAAATCCATGTGTCACTTGTTCATCATACACATTCTCCATTAACTTTAAGAAGATTTTGTATGCATGGAGAGCAGTGTTTCTCACACCTTGGATTAGCGGAGCAGCATCCATGTCAACTGGGAGAACATGCAAGGATGCAAATTTTCAAATCTATCCAGACCTGCTGAGTCAGAAACTCCAGGAGTGAAGCCCAGCAAGTTGCTTTTTCACAGGCCTTCCATGTGAGCCTATTGCACACTCAGTGTGAGATGGTGCTAGGACAACAATTTTCTCAAACTGCAAGAAAAGGCTGATTATGGTGCAACAGCCCAATAAGGCTAGAACTGCCACCATTGTGAGGTCTCAGATACCACTTACTAAAAAGTTCACAAAGACTTTCATGAAATACAGGGAAAGAAGACAAGAGAATAACAACAGCTCTCAACCATGCGTTCATTTACCAAATTATATCTACCACATGCCGTCCACTAAGACCCTGGAGCACAACTGTGTACAAGACAAAGTTTAATTCTTTCTATGATTTATGTGTTATAGGACAGAATAACACTAAATAGCATGCAAATCAACAAAGACTTCAAATAATTTCTTTTTAAAAATAACAGGATAAAAAGAGGCTGGACCAAGTGATATTTTTTCACAGCAGCCACAAGCAACACAAACGTCCATCAACTGATGAGTAGACACACAGAACAGTTTATGTAATGGAATATTATGCAGCCATTAAAAGGAAGAAAGCAATGATTCCTTCTGCAACATGGATGAGACTAGAAGACATTATGCTTGGTGAAAAGAACCCAGATACAAAAAGTCATACTAGTGTATGATTACATTTATATCAAATGACAGAAAAAGTCATAAAGACACAAAGCAAATTGATTTTTGTCAGGGACTAAGGTGGGGAAGGGGGAATGAAAAGTAGCTGCAAATGGATGTGGAAAATTTCTTCTAAGGTGGTATTATCAGAATCAGATTGTGGACCAGAAGCCAATCATGACAGTGGGAGTAAATGCTGCGACTACACTGAAAACCACCAAATTAGACAATTATTTGAAATGATCAGGAGGTGGCATGCAAGTTGATCCCTGTGTAATGGAGTTTGGTCACAAGATGTTGGAAAGGGCATTCCAGGAAGACATCCCAGCAGGAGAAAAGGCTCTAGGGGCAGGGAAGAGGTTATGTAGTTGAAGAACAAGCATGAAAGCCAGTAAATGCAGAACAAGACAAAGGACTATGGTCAACTTTTTTTTTTCACAGAATGAAAAACTGCCTGGTGTACCCAACTCATCAGTGCAGGAAATGAGGGGACACAAATTTTAATGTCTCTGAAATTAATGTCCTGGCCACCCTGCCTCTGTGGAATAAGCAAGTCTGGGACTCAGACTTCACAGAACAAAATTTTCGGGACAATGGACAGAGACCCCTTAAACTAACTTGCCTGGGTGACTTCTAACATGTTCTTCCTCATGTACTTCAGAGAATATTGGAGATTTTTCTGAAACTGAGCGGAAAATGTGTGCAGTTTTTTGAGAAAAAAGACATTGCACTCATCAGATTCTCACAGGAGCCTCCCACAAATCTTGAAATAGTCAGGCTTTCAAGATGATGGCGATGTGACGATGAATGTTCTCATGAATGAACTTGGTCACCACTGCCTTCTGCAGAACCCTTAAGCTGCCAAAATGTGTTTAAGTTCCAGCCCCAAATCCCAGGGACACATCTCCCTAGGACCACCTTCCCAGAAAATGCAGTAGAAGCAAGGATTTGGAAACGTCTCTATTTCCTGCACAGGTTGTCAACAAGTGGGTATCTCAGTGCAAGAACGCCACTGGCATGGGGACCAGAAATGTCGTAACTTTCTGTGCTGGGTCACTAGAAGTGAGGGATCCACTGAATGTGTGCCTGGATGCTGGGAAGCTCCAAATCAAAGGCTGGGCATCAGGAAGCCTGGATGGAGGGAGATGACTTCCAGGACCTCCCTTCCTGAATCACGCTGTCTGTCTTTAGGCTATCTGTGACTCTAAAAAGGGTGTACAGATTATGACACCTCCTTATGTCTACACTAACCATCACCAAGCAGCCATGTGCCTGGAAACCCAGCCCCCTTAACAAAACCCCAGCCTGGAGGGAGTGCCAGCACAGGCAAACTATAGGATTGGCTCTGCTCTTCAGTAGTTTCTTGCAGGGCTAAAATGATGATCCACTCAGATGCAAACAAAGGCAACCAAAAAGAATCCAAAGTTTCATGAAGAGTATTCAATTTATTTATTAAGAGTATTATAAGAGTATTCAATTTATTAACAATGAGTTTCACTCCCAGTAAATGTATTTTTAAATACCATTTTTAAATGCATTTTAAAATATTTCACCTTCAGCCCAGTTTCAAATTTCTGATGGATGCTTTATCGTGTACCTACTCATTATTCACATGTATATGCATATACTATGACTAAAATAAATGTATACTGTCAGGTGAATATGAAAAAAAATTTGCAATGAGGATGTGTCTAAAATTTCTACTGAATGAAGAAACCAATTATGTACTACAGTGAAATAAACACCCAAGGGTCTATCACTGATTTGTAACATGCTGTTTGGACGTTTCTCAAATGTTTAACACTCAAAAAACCTGGGTTCCTCATCCATAATACAGATACTGATTCAGCATACTCTAATATGTGGCCTAAGATGTTCCTGGTTTTCAGGCCACACTCTGAATAGCAAGATCCTGAGGAATCTGTGATTGTTGATATCCATTGTCAACTGGACCAGAACACCACTTGAACTGTGGTGTGCCCAGGTATTTGATCATGATTATTCCAGATGGTTCTGTAAGGGTATTCTTGGATGACAGTAACAACAAATGGTCCAACTGATGCCGGTGAGCCTCACGCCGTCATCTGGAGCCTAGACAAGACAGAATCCTGCCTGAGTGCCTTGGCACTGGGACAGTGGTTCTCCTTGCTCCTAAGAGGCCATTTAGCCTTGAACTGGGACAACAGCTCTGCAGATTTGGAACTAGCCCATTTCCTTTACATACTGGCTTCACTTCTCAAGAGAACCTTGCCTAATCTTCGCAGAAAAGTAAACTTTCCTTTGATACTCCTTAACCCAGTTTGAAACAACTTTGTTAAACATTGCAAATTTTGGGGTTGAAAGTAATCAAACATGGGCAATTCCATAAGATTCAACTTAGCACCAATTTTATGGTACATTTCATCATGTGTTACCTGCCTTATACTTAACTCAGGGATTGCATGCTTATTATTCTTTGTTCTTTCACAGCATTTAAGACAGTGTTGGCTATAAGATCAGTGATCAATAATAAATACCCATGAATATATGAATGAGAAGATAACTTTCTTAAGCCTTTCAAAGTAGGATGTCAGAATCCAGAATTCCTGTGTATTACGTATTATTTTAGGCACTCAGAAAACAGTTTTCTTGCATTCCTTACTGTGAGTGATAACTGAAGAAGACAGATAATAAATAAGCAAATTTTAGACCATAATGGAAAATGAAATAGAGAACACTGAATGATGAGTTGGTGAGTGTGAGTGTGTGTGTGTGTGGCAGAAGGAAATTAAGCTGAGTGATCAAAGACTCCTCAGAGAAGGTGACACTGCAGCTGATACCTAAGTGCTAAGGACAAGCCAACTGTGCAATTCTCTAGCAGAAAAGCATTTGAGCCAATGTCACGGGCATAGCAGAGGAGCAAAAAACAAACTGCTGCATCTTTTCCTTCCAATGACTGAGCAAACAGAAGCCTTTTGCATGTGCTCAGAGTTCAGAGTCCCAGATCTTCAAAGCCACCAAGGGGCCCAGTATCCAAACCACGTTCTCACTCCAACATTTGAACAAGAGTCCTGAGCAATGCTTCTTCCCCAAGAAGCATCCCTGAGAAATCACAGGGAATGGGGGTGCACTGACTTTCTAGAGTAGTGGCTACACACATGTAGACAGTGTGCATATCAC